GTATTTTAATACCACATAAAAAAAAAAAAAGAAAACCCTACCTTTATTATCTTAGTTTCATACTATTAATTTTTTAAAAAACAAGCTGTACCTATACTCCTATTCACACATACTACCAAATCACGGTGCACACTAGCCTCGATGTTGCTATCTCCCTATACCCATGGCCAACTACATTTAACAGTAGTAAAACAGACGCTGGCAGAAGTTCCTCTATTTTGAGGCACGTTTTTGCATAATGGGAAGTACCCTGCATGCACATCAGTTGCAACAGTTCACCCCTCATTCCTGTTATGCTCAGGGAATGGAACAGTTGCAGGTGCTCCATGCACACAGCCTGAAGGGTGCCTTGAGGATGTGGGGAGGGGTGGGGGAGGGAATAGCTCAGGCCAAGTAGCAACATACTGTCTGAGCACTGAAGAGATAAAGTGTTAAGAAAACATTGCAAAAGCAACTTTTCCCAGACACAAAGCTATCTTGGTGTTTCTATCAAAACTAACAAAGCAGCTGGAAAGCTCGCTAACACCAGGACTGAAGTGGGAGAGGTTGCCCTACACTCACCTAACCAGAGGAAGGAACCAGAGCAGCTGGAAGCACCCTCCCTTGCCCAGCAGAAGGCAAGCCTCCTGCAGCACCACCATCCCAGCCGAGGCAGCAGGGCCGAGAGCCTGCTGGGCAACTGGCAGCTTCTCAGCAGTAGGTAAATGCAGAAGACACTCAAGGAGAAATGAACATCCCCCACTCCAGGATATGTGAGAAGAGGATCCTTCTGCAAGAAACTAAGCCTTTAGCTCAGCAACACTTCACAAGCACTAAAAAAAAAAAAAAAAAAATTAAAAAAGGAAATTCACTAAATCTGATCTAATGGCTCCTAACACACCAAGGTGAACCACAGCTAGAGCATGCCTGCTGTCAAATCCAAGCCCTCCCACAACAAGCCCTTTTGCATTCAGCTGTTTACCAACCACAGCTGGCCCAACGCAAACAGCTACACCACTTTATGAAGTGGCAGATGCCTTCTTTCCTTACATCCAAAGCTGCAGGAGCATTTTTGTCATTTTTTCCCCTAAACAGAAGACTCACCATTGGCCAAAAACACAGCACAGCATCTTTCAAGTTGAGAAAGGCTGAGCAATTCAAAACAGCTTGTTACAAACCAAGACAATTCTGGCAGCCTTAGCTATTGCTGTGAGTCTGGCACAAGTGACAGCAATCCTCTCCCGTTGTACAGTCTGCCTCTGGGCCTAGACTACTCTCACTTCACTCCACTGTTCAAGGTTTGCTCTAAACACTGTATTAGCTTGGTAAAAACCTTCACCCTGCCATAGTTTGGTCTACACATAGAAAACATGCACTGATATCATGCAATCTGACCACAGGCAGAGAAGTCTTAGTACAGATGAGCTGGTATCTGCACACCACCCCCAAGCAGAAAGGCATTTCTTTTTTTTTTATAAAGGTTTTATTCTGATTTTTCACGAGACAAGAGAACAGTGCATAGACCAGCTCTCCTACTAGGAATTACATCGTACCATTCAAAAGCAGCAGGGTGAATTAGCAGCTCAAGAGCTTAAAATAGAACAATGTTTTTTTAAATCTTTCACAAAATTAAGCGCTCTTTATAAAATGTCATTTGTTTAGAAGTCAATACACCTCAAGAAAAAACAGCTGCTTTACTGAAAACAGGACAAAATATTTTGGAGTCTTAAAACTCTTTAAAACTGAAGTCACCCTCTGAAACTCAAAGGGAAAATTACAAAGATTAGTTACAAGACAGCAACATTGAAACTCTGCTTCTTGTACTCTATTTTAAGTTTACTGCACACCCAGGGCTGGGTAAACAAACCAAGAACAGTTTCTTCCTAGAACAGTCTAAAGGATCCACCACCAGAAGCTGGGAATACCTTATCTTAATGTCATTTCTGTCACCTCAGGCATTTAAATGCACACCACCATAAAGATACAGCAGGGGCTGCAAGAGGCAGCTGACGGCTGCACAGGGGTAGGCAGACATATACAGGGAGGGGAAACTGTGCCAGGCTTTAGGCCTGGGAGATACTCTAGTGAAAGGGTTTTACCTGCCCTTTCTAGGGGTATTCCTTTCTAATGAACACCCTTAACTAGTACTGTGTAAACTATTTTAAACAAGGCTTGAAGGAAGACACCTAATTAACTGACAACAGGCTTCAGAACTGTAAAGATACTTTAAATTTCTTTAAAATCAGAGCATAAAACCTTATCTAGTCAATAAGTTGTTTTATTTGTCATATATTAAATACTAAAAATAGAGGTGTTTTCACCTGCATTTAGCGTAATGGAGTGAGATGAGCCAAAGCAGAAGTCTACAATGCATTAAGTGGTTAAAGAGAGCTTCTTGCTACCTGGAGGACTAGGAACCATTTTCACTCCCATTTAATTTGACAGCACCTTCATCTTCTACAAGAAAAGGTGATGTTGTTTCCTTGGGAATGGAGCCTTAAGAATGAGGATAACTACAGCCTCCTTACAGGCTACTCTCTAGAAGCTAGGATCATTGAAATTCATATCATCAAGCCTAATGACAGCATGAAAGTGTGGCTGACCACAAGAGGCAAGCAGGGGAAAGAGAGGGCTAAAATACACAAGCCCATATATGATTGTTAAAAGCTGTGAGCGCTCACATTAGCATAAAACAGATTATACACACCTCAAGTGCAGTGATGCATATTCATTTATTGTACAAGGAGCCAGAAGTAGGGCTAGAATCCAGCTACACCAATATGCTGTATCAACTCTGAAACTTGTAGGGTAACAGATAGCTGTTGAAAAGATTTCAATGAAGATGTCCAGCTGTCTATACTCATAAGACTTGAAAATTTATTTTAGTACTACAGCTGCTTTTTAACCAGAAGGAACTTTTACATGAGGATTAGCTGTCAACTTCATGCTGCACTTCACATCAGATCTTCACACACTTTACAAGAAAAGCACAGTCGCACACTCATCAGGGAAATCCCTAGGAGGTTCAGATGGACTCCATTTCTGTTTATGATTGTTCTTTTAGTAGAAGATCTACAGTTTCCATTTTATATACTCCAGACACACCAGGACTTCCAGAACATTTCCATTAAACAGTGAAAACATCATCAACTTTCCAAAATTGGCCATCAGTTTCAGGCAAACAAACAACCGTGAAGCAGGGCATATAATGAATTAAGAGCATCAGTTGCAGGTCATGAATAACCAAGTTCAAAGTATGCAAATCTAATGATTAAAATTTCTGCCTAGAACACATTACCAAACTGCAAACATGTTTTATCTTGCATCACAGTAGTTTTTATTCCTTGCCAAGACTTAAAAATCCTTTTTCTCATTGTTACTGAAGCATACAAGTGAACAGTTTAAACACAGAATCATTTCTACAGTTAGCAATACACTGATTCAAGTCATATGTGCATCCATACAACCTGTTTCAAATATACATCTGCCTATACCTTCCCCATAATCCTACACTAACAATGAACAGTTTACCAAGCAGAACAACAGATTTTCCACGTATAGCTATCTGAATACAAAGGCTTTCTATCTAAAGTTGGTTTTGCATAAGACTCTTTTGCTAACTGAGAGAAGCATTAAGTGCTTTACTGAGTTATTCCAATCAGCAGTACAAGGGGCTTGATCCAGGCTTTAGATACACTTAAAAAAAAAAAAAAAAATGTTTACTCAAGGTGTTAAATTGCAGTGCCCCAAAGACAGCTAGCTCCTCCTTTCCTAGGAGGGGAGAAACACAGATGAACACAAGACAAAGGCAATCACAGATGGCCAGACCAACTACTTCTGACTACTCAGTTGTCATCTAACATGGCCTCCTTCTTAAGACTTTGTCTTCCCCATGCTTTTGCTAAAAGAGGGTAGCAAAGCCACTCCGGGTCAAGTTGCAGTACCCACACAGACAAGGCAACAGGAATTCTGTCGATTTTGCAATTCTTCATTAAGCACAGGTTTCACAACACCGGTTGTTATGTTCACAGATACCTGGCTATATGAGTGTCTCCCGCTGTTGCCACCAGCAGCAAGTTCTACCCCCTTACAGGAAAAAACACTGCTGAAGTCCAGATCACCACAACAAACCTTTAAAACACAGCAAGGTGACATGCTGCTATAGTACATATGTCTTGATGAAATTTCAAAGGAAAAAGAGACACGTATGTCAACACCAACCCTCAAAGTAGCACTGGCTCCTACCCTAGTCAAAACCAACATCACTGGTGCTGTATAGTGACAGCTATGGGACAGTCTTCAAGTAAGCCAGTGACCTCGCATCTAGGGAAGCAAAAGCCAGGAAGCACCTCCTAACTCGTTTTCGTGTAGGAACTGACTTTTTGCACTGCATACAGCTTCAGCTAAGCCTTTCACAGCGCCTGCACCCCCGCTGAGGCTCAGAGCTACTGTGGGGCCTGGGGTTACTCCCCTGAAAGAGGCCAAAAAGCCCAGCCCGCATCCCCGCGAGCTGACCCCGGGGGGTTTTCCCCACAGCCCCCAAAGGCAGCCAAGCCGCAGGGAGGAGCGGCAAGCTGTCGCGGCGGGCAGGGCAGGGCAGCCCGGGCCTCCGCCGCGGCCGATGCACCGAGCGAAGGAGCGGGAGCGCTTCCTGCCGCCGCTCCCCAGCGCCGAGGGTCCGGCCCCCGCCCGCCGCGCCAGGAAGCGGGGGAGGGGAAGAGCAGGAGTCCCGCCACCGCCGCCCCCCGCGCAGCCCCGACCCCACAAAGGCCGAACCCCCAAAACCGGCACCGGGAGTGCTCCGCAAGCGCCCGCGCTCCCCCGCCCATCCCCCCCCCCCCCACCTCCCCTCACTGGCGGCCGCCCGGGGAGGCCCCGCGCACACACACACACACACACACACACGCCGCGGGCCCGGGAGGGCGGCTCCCGCACCGCGGAGGCGCCGGGTAGGTCAGAGGGGCCGGGAGGCGGCGGCGGGGTCCCGGTGCTGCCGTGCCCGCCCCGGCGCGGCCGCTCACCTCAGTCTCCGCCGGGCGTTGGCAGCTCGCTGCGGGGTCTCCTCGGCTGAGGCACAGGGGCACGCTGCTCTGACGTCACCACGCAGCGGCCGCCGGACGGGGCGGGAGCGAGGGAGGGGAGGGGCGGGGCGGGGCGGGGCGCGGCCAGCAGGGGGCGCTGCTCGGCCGGCACGCCCCGCCCTCCCGAGGGAGCGCGCGCCCCGCCCGCGGGGGCGAGCACGGTGCGGAGGGAAGCGGGGATGGGGGCTGCGGGGCTGCCCGCGTCCCGGGAGCCCGTGGGGAGCCCCCGGGCCAAGCACGCACCCCCAGGCCGTGGGACCCCCCCACTCTGCACCGCCCTGCACGCACCCCGGGCCGTGGGACTCCCCCGCTCTGCACCTGCACCGCCCTGCATGCACCCCGGGCCGTGGGACCCCCCCACTCTGCACCTGCACCGCCCTGCATGCACCCCGGGCCGTGGCACCCCCCCACTCTGCACCGCCCTGCACGCACCCCGGGCCGTGGCACCCCCCACTCTGCACCTGCACCGCCCTGCATGCACCCCGGGCCGTGGGACCCCCCCACTCTGCACCCGCACCGCCCTGCATGCACCCCGGGCCGTGGGACCCCCCCACTCTGCACCGCCCTGCATGCACCCCGGGCCGTGGGACCCCCCGACTCTGCACCTGCACCGCCCTGCATGCACCCCGGGCCGTGGGACCCCCCCACTCTGCACCTGCACCGCCCTGCATGCACCCCGGGCCGTTGGACCCCCCCCACTCTGCACCTGCACCGCCCTGCATGCACCCCGGGCCGTGGGACTCCCCCGCTCTGCACCTGCACCGCCCTGCATGCACCCCGGGCCGTGGCACCCCCCCACTCTGCACCGCCCTGCATGCACCCCGGGGCCGTGGGACTCCCCCGCTCTGCACCTGCACCGCCCTGCATGCACCCCGGGCCGTGGTACCCCCCCACTCTGCACCTGCACCGCCCTGCACGCACCCCGGGCCGTGGCACCCCCCCACTCTGCACCGCCCTGCATGCACCCCGGGCCGTGGGACCCCCCCACTCTGCACCTGCACGCACCCAAGGGCTACAGGAGCAACATGGAGGGCACAAAGCCTCCCCTACAGGGTGCACGTGTACCCCTGCATCACCATTTACAAAGTCCCTCAATTTTTATTTACTCTTTTTTTTTTTTTCTGCCTGGAGCTGAAGCTGTAACACAACAGACCAAAGAGTTACAACTCCTCTTAGTTGAGATCCAGGCTTCAGTGCCCAAAAGAAAGGGCCTAATTAAGAATTAATCATCACCCAGACTTCTGGGGCTGTTTGGTCACAACGCTGCGTGGGTGCTTCCCTGCGAGTTTGTCCCAGGTCCCCTTGTCTCCTAAGGGAAAAACAAAATCCACCCACAAATGTTATTAACCTTGCTAGATCTGCTGCACATCCCCCAGTGCTGGGGAATTACGGATGAGAGGTTTATCACCAGCAATGAGCTAATTAGTGCTGCCATCCTGGCAGGGCTTTTACTGGAGTCTCCCTGGCTGGGAAATGGCCCCACAGTACAGGGGATATTCGGGGGGGGGGGTTATAACCAAATAACCCTAAGCTTCCCAAATAAAAGGAAAAACGACCCTTCGAGAACCAGAGCACAAGAAGAAAATCTCCAGGCGCTGCCAATTTGAGAAGCAGGAACCAAAATCTGGCCTGAAACAGAAAACTTGTTTAGAGTGAATTCAATTTTTATAAGCCAGGAAGACTTGCTGGTCTTGTAGCGTGGCTCAAGGTGACGTGGAAGCAGCAGAAAGCCTGTGGTTAAAAATCCCTGCTGTGGGCTGAAAATCATCTGAAAAGGCTGAAAAAGACCCTCTATATCATTTTTAATTTTGCCTGCAGTGCCTGGCCCTGTTTTGGTGCCTCCTGAAATTTTATCAAATCTGAGAGATGTTTTCCCTCACTCAGTTATCATTCATGCCATTGATCCATTAATAAATCCATCTCTCAGGACCAGAAGAAGACAGGAAGGCTCACAGTATCCCTAAGAGTCAGCAAACATCAGCCCTGGGGAGCACCCAGGAGAGGATCAGATGTTAAGAGCATCTTTCTGCTGGCCCTTTTAAATAAGCCCTGGTTTATTTGCGCAACCAAAGATGGAGCAAAAACCACTCTGTCCAACTTTAATGGTGTCAGAAGTCCATCTGTGTCTTATCCTGCAAAGACTGTCCATCCCTGGGGATTTTGGAGCTAGCCGTTGCCCTCAGACCATGTTCACTGCTGTCCTGAGCGCTCATGAAAGAGCAAAGAGAGAGGAATATTTTCAAAATTAATTTTCAAGATGAAGTCATGAATGGAAACAAAGTCTTGCAGGAGGTGACTGATATTTAACCTGATATAAAGTATCTGAGAAACGCATTACGTACTGCAGCTGGAACAGCAGCCACAAGCCTGTGGCCTCTGGTTCTGCCACGTTCACTCCTTACCTATATGGTAGTTCCACCAGGCAAAGCAGAGAGCACAAACTCATCTAAATGAAAGGCTTGAAAAACATGTAGGAATGAAACATGGCCCATACCTCATCACAGACAACCTCTGCCCTCCAGCACCACATCCTGCTGACTCTTCCCAGATGATTTTTGGATTAAAACCCTGCCCCATCGAGCCAAAAACCCATAAAGGCAACGGCTCGGTAGAGGCTGAGCTGAACAGTTGAGATCATGAACCTGGAGGGACTCAAGGAGTCCTCCACTGAGCACCATCTCCTTGGTCCTCTGGAAGCTCATCCTCGCTGCAAGTGTTGCAGGAGGCTTCAGCTCATCTTTCTGCCACCAGCTCCATCCTTGCCAGCTTTTCAGAGGATGGATTGCTCGGCTCCACAGCAGCACCTCCCAGTATTTCTGATGTTGCCTCAGCTCTTTGGGTTTAATTAGATCAAAAACAAGCCAAGATGGCAACACTAGGCGTGCTGTCTCAGAGGAACCAGACAGCATTTGGGGGGAATGGTTCCCCTCTTCCAGCATCACCTCCCTGGTCCACAGCAGGACCATTTGGCAGCCGCAACCCCACTTCCCGCCGTGCAGAGAGCACTGAGCACGAGCCCACCATCTCCATGCCTTGCCTCTTGGTACCTTCTATATATTTCCACACAAAGCTACTGCCATAGTGGTTTTGCTCCTTTGGGGCAAATACAAGAAAAAACTTGACAGCACCCAGAGGAACTGCAGGACACTGGGGAATTAAGGGATACGGAGGGTAAGGGATGTCTGCTGGAGATGTAGGAAAGCACGCATGAAATCCCCACAAAGGCCAGTGCATGAAATCACAAGCTACGGAGGTCTGCAAACATCACCCCGATCCCCTTGTGCATGTCATTGTACATATTTTAATGATGGGAAACAGAAATAAAACTGGGGCAGGAATCCTCTCCTCCCAGAGGAGCATAAATCAACACATGTGAAGATCTCTGATGTTGCTGTAATTAGCACCATGGCAAAGCCCGTGCAGTAATTAACTTTCTACCAAGTTAAGATTTAATAACATGCAGTACAATAAGACCTGGGGCAATGAAACAAGCAGGGAAAACCCCATCAATTTAGACACTTGTGACTCGATAAGGAATTAACTATACCCTCACCTAATGATAATAATAATACATTGCTTGTATTGTTCTTGTACTCCAAGTGAGGGAGGGTCAGATGGGTAAAGGTGCTTGAAATGTCCCATACTGACTCCAAGGACCAGGTTTCTGCCAACCAGAGGCTCAGCCACACTAGGATGGAGCTGAGTTACTGCATCTGGCAGAGCTGGGAGAAGAAAATCTAGAACACAAAAAATCCTGGGCTGCCAGGAAGCTGTCTCAACCTCCCATCCCTCTGCGATCCTTGCAGGGAACAGCTCTTCCCATGGGGAAGGCCAGCAGCCTCGAGCATCTCTCAAGGCAACTCCCAGGGTGTGCCAGGGGAGTGGGGATGAGGAGAGGGAGACTGGAGGCTGGAGGAGAGGCTGTGCCCTGCCAAAGGGGTATAAACTTCAGTCATGGCAAGATCCAGTGATGGTGCTGATCCCCAAGGGTCTCAGGGATGCAGAGGTCCTCCCTCCCCTGGGCAGAGTCGCTGCAGCACCTAACCTGAAGCAGTAGGTTCAGAGAGAGATGGAGAGGCATGAGTCAAGGGGACCTGGGAGAACGCGATGCTGAAGCCACCTCCTCTGCTGAATTCTGGTGGGGCACCCAAACCCCTCCCAGCTGCAGATGAGGGCCAGGAGGAGAAGAACACTCTGGGGACTTGCTGTAAGATGACCAAATCAATGTTAGAAAGAGAACAAGGAAGTTTAGAGGAATTAGAGGTTATTTTGAGAGCGTATGCATGAACTGATCCAAGCCTGATGCACAGACTTAGCCCCAAATTGTTTCAGGGATCAGCCAGCAGAGCTGAAGGCAGCAGTGTCTTCCTCTGCAGTGGGTAAGGAGATGGGGCAATGTCTGGGAAGGTCACTTGGAGCTGAGTGGCTGCCTGGAATGTGCAAGCTCCCGGGAAGCGAGTGCTGCACCCAAGACCATGCCATGGGGAAGAGAGGACACAGCTTTTCCACCAGCACCTCAGAAGTCAGGAGACCCCAACCGCAAATGCAGGTGGAGGTGGTGCTTCTTGGTGGAGCCTAACCACAAGTACACCTCCACCCTTGGTGGGCCCAGACCCTGGAGTCACAATTCCCCTTCCACAGGTGGTCCTCAACCCTCACACATCACCAGCGGAGGAGGTGGATAAGGCCAGTGTGCATATACAGTGCCCTGAGCAGCATGGAGGGTCACCACCTTGTCATCTCAGGGAGGTGAACAAGTCATGGGAAGATCCAACCAGATCTGACGTGGCATAGCAGGATCCGACCTGGACATCTCCTTCTCCATCAGTGCATTCCCACCTCGGCTCCTCACAGAGGAGCAAGCAAGCTCCTGGAGGAGCCCTGTGCAGCTGGGCAGAGGGAGGACATCTCCTCAGCAGCTCTGACCTTTGCCTCTCCCCAGTTCTTGGTGGAAAAAGAGGCTGGAGATGTCCTACGAGCCCCACATGCCACCGAGTCTCCCTGGTAAAGCCAAAGGGATGCTTGCCACACAGACAGGACAG